GCAGATGAGCAATGTGGCATGTGAAAGGCTCCACTGAAATCTCCAAATATGCTTTCACCCCCTGTTCCGTAAAGAAAGAGTACGTAGGGATATCAGAAAAACAATAATTAACACAACCAACGGCACCAAGGTTAAAGCCTCTGCCAATCTCTATACCTAGGTTCCGTGATCAGTACAGTCAAAGGTTCAGCTGGAGCGATACCTCGATTGAAGAGGTATTCCGAATATTCCAATTTCCCCTGTATTAAACACAGCCATTCAGAACCAATAGTCATCACATCAAATGGCCATCCGGAATATCCTTAATATCACCAGACCGCGCAGTTGACACGCCGGTTCTAACGGCAGCCCGCAAACGACATCTTCCAAACCGACGCCAAAAAATTTCCGCCATACGGGTAGCGCTGTCCAACGTGTACCTGTCTTTCCATACTTCGGTGAACTGAAGTACACGAATGGAGCAGCGCTCGTCATTAGGCAGCCATTCGACCGACTACGAAAAATTGCCGACCCATTTCAGACTGGCAGATTTGTAATTTCAGATCAGCAATTGCAAGGGCAGATATGTCGCTGTTCATCACCTGTCGATCGTAGTCCCGAACGCTCCTGTAGAATAATGCACCACTGCACCCCCTCCGATGGTGGTAACTACTAGCAATCCGAAACCAAAGCACTGAACGTGCTCTGCACATAACGAATTGCTGGTGTCCGCTGACCTCAACGTTGATGCCAAGGAAGAATGATTCAGTTTCGAATCGGTGCCAGGAAACTTTAGATCTCGAAACATCAACAATAAATTCATGTGGCTCCTCTGGCGATGAGCAGCTTCTGATCTCCCACTGATGAGCTGATGGCTAAAATGTAGCCGAATTCATCGTTGGACTGGCATTCAAACAAAGGCCACAAGGATCAGCAAGTCGATCACATCCTGATTCGACACAGGAATAAAGACATGGCATAAAGCTCCAACGGGACAGAAGCACTTCATCAAACTGACCACTGATTGATTGCGGCCACAATCGACGTACTGCCGTCGCATCAGGCCAAACGAGAAAACGTCAATCACAACCTCCAGCACAGCAGGATAGCTCGGGTATACACCATCGATAACAGAAACCGCCTCGAATCTGATAACGTCGAAATCACCTGAGACAAACTCTGCATGTCTGTCATGAGGTACACGCACAAGCTGGTTAACTTCAAGAGCAGCAAAAGCAGCAAGTTTAGCGCTCTGACGAGATGCTCCACCACCCTGCTCCTGACAGCCATAGCTCGTATGAGGGGCGATCTATGGAACACTGACACCCGCAAGGCCCTCTTAACACAAATGAGAAGGTAGACCGGGAAATGTACCAGAAGAGATTAGCGGACAAAGCACAGGATACGCAATAACAGCATAAGGATGACTTATCGAGCGATCAAACAAGCTCCTTCAGGGAGAATGACAAGCCCGTACTACGCGGAGATCACAAAGCTGATGGCGGGGCATACATCAGTTTTGAAATTTCATTCCGATGGCTGTACCCTACGCATCAACTATGAAGTTTGCGAAAGCCAAGTCAAGCCAGAAATCTGAAGGATGGCGCAACCAAATCGCGCCCCAACCCAGAAACCGACACGCGGCCTCATACCTATTCTGACCTTATTTCACCGGATCTCTGGAAATGTGCCATCGTACAATCAGTACAGGACTCGACCATCTACCTGACGGAACGGAGGGTCGGCGATGCACCATGCAAATGAAAGGATGCGAACGTCGCTGCCATGCACAAAGGTAAAGGATGAAAAATGGAATATCGGCCAAAATCGCTCCTTTCAGTACCCGGCAACGTATTCGCGAATGTCCTGCTAGCCGCTTGAGTCCCTTCTTGTCAGGTATCGTCGTCCTCAACAGTCCGGAGTTAAGGCTGATCAAGATATCCTAATGTTAAGGGTACTATCCGAGATACACCGGGAATTCGCCCACCCGTTATACCGGCACTTGGCTGACGTAGAACAACCCATACCAAAAATAAGAGCTTTTGAGAATGCCAATAATAAAAAGCTTTCTGCCAATCAAACAATGGCACATTTTGAAATAAAATTTTAAGG